CCTTAAAATGAAAAAATGAAATAGGCTGGTATTGTAGCTCAGTGGTCTAATCACTAGTGCTGTTAAAAAAAAAACAACAAAAAAAAAAACCGGGAGAGCACTAGAAAATCAGATTCTTTCTAGGAGTGACTACCACCTCACTTCTACGCAGGATTGAGCCACCTGTCCCCTTCTCAAATAGCCCACAGGAAGAAGATAAAACCTCCTGATAGCATGTTCTACCATTCTGTGAACACAGTCTGACTTGGATTTTCCCTTTGTTTGTATTTCAAAATAAAGACATCTGTTGATAACACCATTAGGAAACTTGTTAAAAAAAATTGATTTTTTAAACTCTGAAAGTGTTATGTAAATGAGTCTACAAATAAGATAACTTTCCTACCAATTTTCTTAAAAATTAAAATACAAAAACAGCAAGAAAGGAAACACTAAAGACCACTTCTATAGTATGAGCACATGCTCTGACCACTGCAAACCAATCCTAGACCTCAGAGCTGCATCTCCTAAGGGGTGATTCTAAGGAAGGAAATGTGGAGGACTGAGTGGAAATCGAGAGTGGGAAATGAAGTCAAATCGGCTTTAACCATACAAGAATTATCCCTACAACACACAAGACCCTCCCAAACTGGTCTATGCTAGGTGTAGTGGCACATGCCTGTAATCCTAGCATTCAAGAGGCTGAGGGAGGAAAACTGCTGGGAGTTAAGAGATCAGTCTGGGCTACATACAGTAGTGAGTGCAAGGCCACCCTGAACTACATACTGAGGCCCCGTCTCAAAAAACTAAAAACAAAACAAAATATAAAACCCAAACTGGCCTAAAAATGGGTAACTGACTCCCCCCATCACTGGAGAAGGAATTGTAAATACATTCCTTCCAGAGCTGCCAGATAAGCCCCTGGCTCTGAGGGTCAAGACCCCATCCAGCGAGAGGCACCCTCTGGTGGCCCATAAGAGCCCCACTTACTCATCGCCGTCGGGACACAGGCCGGTGGCCTCGTCGTACTTGGAGCAGTACACGTCGGGGCTGTAGTTGAAGGTGCCATCGCGCCTACGGAGCGGTCTGCGGCGGCGCTGGTTTAGGAAATGCCAATGGAAACAGGTAAATGGCCTGTGCTGGCTGCACTTGTGCTGCACAAACAGGGGGCACTGCTCTGTCCTAAACTCCTTTAGATACCTAAAACGACAAACAGCGTTGCGGGTCGCCTCCGCCGTCGGGCGGCCCCGAGACTCGTGGGCTGGGCAGGGTCCCCAGGCGCGACACCACCCTTTCGGAGCCCAGCCATAACAGCCATAACCACCCCCAGCCCGACTCGTTCCCCGGAAGGCAGACACGGTCTCCTACCCCAGGCGCGACCCCCGAAACCCCAGACACGATCCCCTAATCCGGGGAGCGACCTCTCAGACCCCAGACACGACCCCCCCCACCCCACCCCAGACACGACCTCCCGGACCCCAGACACCATCCTCCTACTCCAGGCGCAATTTCCCAGACCCAGACGCGGTTCCCGGATCACAGATGCAGCCCTCTATCCAGACACAACGCGCCCCACTCAAAGCTCAGATGACTCCAGAGGCCGACCCCACTGGGACGCGTTCCCCAGATCCTGGGCACTGTTCCCGCGCCCCATGTGCTACATTCCAGATTCCAGGCGAGGTTCCTCGACCCCAGGCGCGAACCCCCACTCCCATTCCAGAAGGACCCCAGCCGCAGCTCCCTTCCCCACAGCAGGCGCGACCCTCAATGTCAGGCGCGGCCCCGCGACCCAGGGGCGAAAACGCCAGCCCCGAGCCTCGGGTCCCCAGCCCCGAAGCCACCCCAAACTCTGGGCTCTGCCTCCTGGTTTCAAGCGGCGGCAGCCTTAGTCACAGGATCGCATGCCTATCCCAAGACCAGGTGCTACCCATATCCCTAAACCCAGGGCCCGTTTCCTCATCCCAGCCAGAAGCGCGCCGACTCTTGCGCCTAGGCGCGCCCCCAGCTCCCGAGCCCGGGTCCATCTCGCAAGCCGGGCCCGGCCTCTCGCGTCCCAACGGCGTGGCCCACCGAGGCCGAGACCCGGAACCCGGCCAGACGGGGGCCGAGGTCGGGAGGGGCGCACCTTCTGCCTCAACACCCTAGGCCCGGTCCGGGCGCGCGCGGGCCGCTCCCCGTCTACTGGGCGGCGTGGGCGGCAGGCCGGGCACTGACCTGTAGTGGGTCGGCTTCTCGGTCTGCGGGGGGGACCCGCTCAGCGCCGCCGCGGCTTTCGAAACCGACGGCATTTTCAGTCAAAACAATGCAGCGCGCATGCGCAGCGCTGGCGCC